GTGAGGAAAGGGTTCTGAGAGCCTTGGAAGTGATATTCGTGATCACCGCGAAATTCTCTATCGAATGGTGTATGAAGTGTCGAAAAATAAATTTCACTGCAAGGCTGCCCTGGGTGCATCTTATGTTCAGTGCGGAATGTTTCCCATTTTTTTCATAATTTAGTCTATCAGTTCTTGTCATGATCATCTTAGTATAACGACGTCTCTTTGTATCTGTGAATCTATCTCTTTTTATTGACCATTTAATACTGCATTGTTCTATCGTCAAAAAAAATTGTATTTCGATATATAGCTAGTCCGTCGATGTTTGAAAGAGAGAAGTTTTCGTCTACTTTTTGTTGATAGTACGGACATTGTCTTGCTTGTGTTTGATCGACAGATCTCATTCTTCGGTCGTTAACTGTTTCAAATTGTATCTGGACTCCTTAAAAGGATAAAGGCATTATGTATCGCCGTGATGAAAACTTTCTGCTTTTTTGAGACTTCATGTGTATTACCCGTTTTTTCATAGAGAGGCCTTTGTATTCATAAACGAATTAAGGAAGATCAGTACGTTTCCAGATAGTGGCGCACAATTTTTTAAGACTTTTGTAGAAATATCACCCCCGTCGCGATAGATCTGGCATGCTGTGTTATATGTTATACATGCTTTTTCATTTGACTTCATTTTCTCAGTCGAAAAGCTTTCTCCATGTTTTGAGAATAAAATCCGTCCAGAAGATTATAGGATCAAGCATCAAAGAGAAAGCTTATTCTCGTTCTTACTGTACCACGGAAAACTTTTACACATCTGCTTTTTTTCTTCGCCACGGGTTTTGATATCATTTCACTTTTACTCTATTTCAGATCACATTTGTATAATTCTCGTATACATCTATTCTTCTATTGTTGGATGTGTTCTTCTTTCAAATGCTCGAAATTACTTTTGTTATTTCAATTTTAAATATTTCTTTAGTTTAGAAAAATAAAATACTTTACTTTATTGTTTCGTTTTTCTTTGTTTGTTTTTCTTTTGTTTCGGTCTAAACTATTTGTCGAAATGTAAGTATTTTATGATATATTTAATCGAGCTAATTAATATCGCTCTGACTTTGATCTTACTTTTCGTTTAGACTATTCTTTTCGTCATAAAATGTTAGACTAACCTTCATTACTTTTCTTGTTGATATTTTGATTTCTTGTACATACAATTTATCTACATTATTGTACTAATTATGAAAAAACTTGATTTATCTCGGAATATTGCTGAAGAAACGTGGAATACATGTTGGGAGCTAGTATCCAAACCCAATTCTTCTACACAAAATTTGAATACAAACTTATCAAAATCTTCTAATGGTTGTAGTGTATATTCAGATACAGAAATAACAGCTTGTAAAAAACGAACAAAATCTCCAAATATTCATGGATGTTCATCACAAAATGATTTAAGATCATATTATCAGAATGGAGATTCATCTACTATAAAACAATCCAAAACAATTAACGATTCAATGTCGTCTACGAAATTGGAAGAAAAATATAATAAAAATGAGAAAAATATTTATCCTGTATGGAGGAAGATAGAAATACCATCAAAATTATTTGATTTTATGGCGTAAGTTCAACAAACAAAAGTGCTATTTTTTTTAATTGGCTGGTTCTAAAGCTGAATTTCTTAACTGTTCATTATCGCTTTAAAGCCTTATAGAGCTTCAGAAAAGACGAACGTTGCTAGTTTTTATCGCTCAGCGGAAATGTTAATAGAATTTAATTTTTATTTCGTATACAGATGTACAATAAGTCCAACGCTTCCATTACTACGTTTACATTATGAAATCATTCAATTTGGAGAATTTATAAAACCAAAATCTGAAGAAGCTTATGTACGTCAACAAGTGATTGATCGCATTAAAAATGTTATTCATGTACATGTCCCAAATGCAATCGTAAGTTCTAGTATTAGCCATTTATTAGAATTTCTTGTGGAAAATGTACTTGTTATGATTTTTGTGTTCTTGAAATCTTGGTGAAGGAAAAGACCAGTACTCAAATATTAAATAGCTTAAACCCACATCTCTGGCAAAAACAGCGAATTTTTGCATCCATTTCTTTTAGGTTGATATTTATGGCAGTTTTCGTACACAACTTTATTTACCTCGCAGGTAAGATTTACTTTACATCACTTTTTCTTTTTTTAATTGTGTTTTCTTTCTTTCTAGTGATCTTGATCTTCTGGTTTATTCTGCTGATCAACGCATTTGGAAAGATGAGGAATTATATACATTAATGAAAACTTTGAAAGATGCGTTTTGTAAATGTGGTATTAGTACTGAGGAAAATATAAATGTTCTTAATTATGCATCCACACCCATCATTAAATTAGTTGATAATGAAACTGAAATTCGAGTGGATATGAGTTTTAATATGAACAATGGTGTACGAAGTGCACACTTGATTTCAGTAAGTAGTAATGAATCAAGATTTCTAAGCTCTTTTATTGCTTTTCTTTGCTATTATAGAAATATTTAAAAGAATTTCCATTATTACGTTATCTTGTATTTGTTTTAAAACAGTATCTTGTTCAACATGATCTCAATGAAGTTTGGACTGGAGGAATAAGTTCTTACAGTCTTATTCTTATACTAGTCAATTTCTTTCAAGTATAGTATTAGTTATTAATATGAATTTTATATCTATAACTTTTGTTATTATTACTTCTCTTCAGCTTCATTGTAAATCTGATATTGAACAATTTCATATGAATCTTGGAGAATTATTAATTCGTTTTCTTGAATTATATGGACTTGTTTTTAATTATGCAAAATTCGGTATTAAAGTACAAACACCCGATTTATCAAATAAACGTAATGGTTATATACCAAAAGATGAATTATTTACAAAATTTAATTGTGGGCATCGATCCACTGGGCTTTTATGTATTGTTGATCCATTTAATGAAAGTAAGAGATGTGTATAGCGCAGGCATTTTTCTCAATACAAGCGTAATTTTCTCTGTTATACAGATAATGATATTGGCAAAGCCTCATACAAAACAATTGAAATAAGAAATGCATTTCGAAATGCATTTGATAAATTACAGAATGCTGTTAACCCGATGAACCCCGTAATTGATAGCTCACGAAGGTATATATACTTTATATGATTAATTGTTGTCAACAGTAGTCCTCATTTTCTATGATTTTTTATTTTAGTATATTGGGACAGATTATAGTGATTGCTGATGATCTAATAAAGTATCGAAAACGATTACACAGTTATTTCCATACTAAACTGGAGCCACAGCTGATCATACCAGTCGTACAACCACCATCATCATAGTAAATTACTGTCTTCTCTAACAAATTCTGATTAGGGATAAGGGAATCCATTTTTTTTTCGATTCTTTCAAACTTTGAGTTCTAACTAGATATTGTCTGCCGAAATTTAATTCTCACATCTCAATTGAAAACACTGATCTTCCCATTAACATTTTTAGCAAATAGTACAGTGAGATGTGTCCTACTTGATACATATTATTGCGCTTTGGATGGTAGTTAGACTGTCTGTTATAAAAGGAAGTTGATTATTGCTAGAGAAGTGTTCTTTAATGAGAGTTAACTATATTTGAAAATCTCATGCTCATTCATATTTTTTAAAAGCAATTTTTTCTTTTAAGTTCTGTGTTTCCCACAATAGTAAAAAACGATCATATTTCGAACAATCAGCCATTGAAAATAGCAACAACTTTGATCTCAGATCACCAACCATTGCAACCAGAAGCGTCACAGTCACAAACAAATGGAGATGATATAAAAAGTATTCCATCGCTTTATACAACAAGTACCGATAGCTCTCGTGCTCAATCAACGTCTTCATCAAATAACACGTCGTCAAGTTCAAGCATAACAAGTGACTCTGTACGTGGTTTGATAAACTCTATTTCTTTTCGACGACCTGAATTTCAGTTCAACCCAAAAGATCACGCTTTGTTTTTCTTGGCGTTGTTATCTCAGTGAATTTTTTATCTGGTAAAAACATTTTTTTGATAAGATTTCTGTTCGTATTTAGGACAATGAAACTCACGATGGTTCTCAGCAACGTTTAGATAAAACTGTCGTTAACTCATCTTTCTCTATAAACAGTGATACTAATAAATTAGACGATCCAATGAATATAAATAATGAAACGTCGAGAATTAATGATACAATGATCAATAAACGAATTTTAATTAACGGTAGTCGAACAGATGATGATTATGAAAGTGAAAAAACGCCGACGCCAGTGTTGAGAGATGCATCAGAAACACCGACCACAACAGCAGCAGCAGCGATTACCAACGCAGAATCAAATTGTTCTACACTGACTTCTTTGAATTCGGTGTCACCATCACCTATACCAACCTTCATGAATATAGCTGCTGCCACACAAACGATGGATGACAAAGGGTAAGCACAAAAATTCTTAACGAGTAGCATATAAGACGTAATTTCTGATGACTTTTGTACATATTGCCACAAAGTCGTTGAAGGAAATTAATCAGAACCAAGATATATTCGATTTAGAAAAGAATTTGCTTGTTCTTACATTGTTATTCGCAGACTGTTCTAGTCTATTGAACTCATTTGTATGTCAATCGACTTTTTGCTCTCTCTTTTTATTCAGAAATTATTGTTTTGTTACTTTCATTTAGACTATTTGAAAAACATGAAAATTATCATTTTCCACCACAATATTCTCAATATCAATATTATTCGACGAATACAAACAACAATTATTCTTATTTTAATAATAATAATAATCGAAAATATTATCAGAATGGGGGTGGTGGAAGTGGAATAGGAGGACGCCGAGAATCGTCTTATCACATTCGTAAACAACAAATATCTCGCCGACATCCAAAAAATGGTGAAATACATCCACATAGGACTAACAATTATTTTCGGCAACAAGAATCACAAAACAATAATCACTATCACTTCCAAAATAACTTACCAGATTTAATATCACCCTATGTTTATTCTCAATCACACGCACCGAATACAGCCGCATCTTCAACATCAACATTGTCATCTCAACAACGTCTGTCCCAAAATTACTCTTATTAAATAGTTTTCTTATTTATTTATAAATCTTTTTCGGCGTAGCGCAAAACGCAATCAAGTCATTCTCTATCTCTCTATCTCCTTTCTTTTTTTTGCATAAACCGAGTGGCTGAAAATATAAAAAAATTGACAAAAAACCAAAAACTTTCTGAGTACTTTCTTTTAATTCTCTATTTTGATTAAGTAAGTGAGAGTCAAAATTCGAGTTTTTTTATGTCTTGTATCAAGTTGGTATTTGGAATTAATCTAATAGCAATTGTTTTCCATATGAAAACATATTACAATAAATTGCGATACTAAATCTTACCAAACAGAAGTGGAACTACAAAGATTAACTTGATAGTTGAGTGACATTCCTCGAGAGTTAGTTATTTTTCTTCTTTATGTGTGTTTATTGTTCTTGTTGTCATGGTTTTTTGCTACTTCAATTGAACCCAGTGTTTCTTTAGTTGTTTCATTGTTTTTTTCAGTTTCTCTATTTATAAAAAAAGCCAAAAAACGGTACTTGTGTGCATCTTTCTCACTCTTCTCTTTGTTTTCGTTGTTCTCTTTTCTATTAACGAATAACCAAAATTCGACCTCCCTTTTTCTCTGTACTGTAAATATCTTGTGTAAATTTTCACTTTCTCTGTCACATGTATCCATAAACATATCATCATTGCATTTTTTAAAAATTCAAATTGGGGTTTTAGTTTTTTTCTTCTTATGTTGTTGTTGACATCCTGTTCCACAATTTGTCCTGGTGAAAAATTCAGAGAATTAATCGATCTCGCTCACATACAAGTAATTTTTGTCTTGTTCTTCGTGTTTCTTATAGAGTAGCAATTTTGTTCGTATGCTGCTTATTTTTTCTTTCCTGTGTTGTTCGTGTTTATTTTTGCTTACACAACAGTGTGCACATAGAACGCGACGATCCTTCCTAGACAATTTGATAATGTGAACAGTTTTCATATATTTTCTCTCTCAGGAACAAATCGGGAACCACTTTTTTCCGTAAAAAAACATAGATTAGTGTTTTGTTTTTGTTTGTATGTATGTGTTATAAGCGTCTTCTTATAGTGGAGCTTTTCAGTCCATTTTTTACCTTAGGACTATCACATTATTTTTCTATTTGTTGTTTTTTTCTCGTTATCGAGTTGAATCAACGTATCTGTTTGCCATTGCACTGTCTAAAAATGTAGTTAACTTAAACACTCGTGTGTGCGTGTGTATTTTTCTAGATATTCTATTCGTTTTGTTTTCTTGTAACACCAGTATTATTCAAAAAAACAATGTGTATGTGTTACAGAAACCAAAATATGTTTTGGTCTGCTTCGAATTTCATTAGTTTTTTCGATTTCTGTCTTTCGTACCGTAGTAACCTACGAGTTTTCATTTTCATGTTTGATGACGACTACCACTACGACTAATAAATAATGACGATTCTTTTATTTTTTTCATATTTGAATCTCTCATTTTTTTTTCTTGTGGATACTTCACATCGTGTGCTAGTATTTATAGTCGGTCATTTTTATGAGAGAGAAAATGATATATATTTTTTTGTTGGTGTAGCCTGTTGGTTTTTTTTGTAAACACATGAAAAATATTATACAAAGTTATAAAAAAAATCTGATAAAAAACTGTTCTCATGAACTAAAGGAAAATCGCCAGTGTTTCAGCACCATACTTAGTACACTGAGGCTAATAGTCTATCTCCTCGGTCAGAGTTTCCTGAATGGTTATAAGTTTTCGTCAAAATATTTGATGCCAATTTGACTGCGAGAAAATAACAATAGTGTGGAAAAAAGTGTTTTTAACGTATTTTCTGCAATTTCTGTTAGAAAATTCCTCACTTTTTTCGCCAGTTTTCATCAGATTCTTATTCTTCCACCATCTGATTAAAAGATAATAAGCATCTCTGTTCTTAATATTCAGCAAGAGATTTCTTTACATTTTATGACTAACTTTTTTCTTGCTTTAAACTCTATTTTAAAGCATTTTTTAGATTCAGATTTTACTTAAAAAAATGAGATTTGAGTAGTATAACAGCTGATCTCTAGTTTGATCAATGACACTCGTATTTTCACGTAAACTGTTCATTCTCTATTTGGCTTAACGATAAATGTCAGTAGAAACAAGAATGGATCCAGAATTTTTCTGAGGTGCGTGCTTTAATTATAATAGAAAAATGTTTAGAGTCGAGTACGTTTTAAGCAAAACTAGTTTTCGTCATTTTGATGACGTGCATTAGATGAAAGTTGAATAAAAAAGACTTTGATGATAACGTTCCTGATTTAAAACTAGTTCTCTTTTGAATTTCATGATTCTGATATTTAATTTCTTTGTATATTTTTAACAATCTAAGTAGTTCTTGATACGGTGTCTAAAGTGGTCGAAAATCTCTTTTGTTGTTGCTATTTATGCCTATTTTACTAATCTGCAATTGTTGAGGTCTCAAAGGAAAATAAATGTTATCAGTCGAATGATCGTCTTTTTTTCAGATGTTATCCGATGGTCAATTTCAATCTTCTAGTCCCTCATCTACAAGCGCCTCTGCTCAAAATAAAGTTCCGTTATACTCGTTATTATCAAAAGATAAACAGTTTTCTATACCAGATGAATTGTCATATGGGACATGCAGGTAAGGCCTCTTCTTTCCAAACTATGTCAGTTTATTAGCTGTTGTTATTTTAGATGTGTGAGTGATTTCGAAAAACTCAATTGTATAGGTAAAGGTACATATGGAATTGTGTATCGTGGGCGCGATAAAATATCAAATGAAATTGTTGCTCTTAAAAAAGTTCGTATGGAAAATGAGCAATGGGGAATACCAATAAGTTCAATGAGAGAAATTAATTTATTATTAAATATTCATCACCAAAATATTGTGGAATTAAAACAAGTTGTGGTGGGAAAATCATTGAGATCTATTTTCTTAGTCCTATCCTATTGTGAACAGGATTTAGCCAGTCTACTAGATCATATGACATCACCATTCACAGAAGCACAAGTAAGAATCGAATTGATAGAATAAATTCATCCACGAAACCATGATGTGTTAAATTCCATTTTGCTTCCATTTTAGAAACAAGTTTACTAGTTAGTCAATCATCACTCTGACAGGTTTTCACAAAAGTAAAGAAAAGAAAGGGATGAGCTGATAAGAAAGATAGGAGAGTAAAGGGTTTCATTACAATAGAAAGTTAACTGCAAAACACCGTGCAGTAAAGCAAAATTTTTTCGATGGAATCACATCTATTCTGTAACCATGGAAATCTTCAATGGCTGTGGTCATTTTACAAGGAGAAATTTCATCATTTAACGATATCTGTACGCATAATCTTTTTTTGTAGTCACCATTTCATCTCACGAGGAATGATCCCCAACTGATAAATCGCTTTAGACATGAAAGGTGGTGGACCACAGGTAATCGATGGTCCTGAATCCGAATCTCACCTTGGTTTGTGCCGCTAGGCCTTGCAAGT